AGGGAACATCAAATTTTCCGCTGCATTTAAGTGGTAGCGACGTATATTTTGAAAGTAAAATTTTAAGAATTTTGTAAAGTATTATTTTTATCATCATTGGATGATATATTTGTTATTTTCCAGAGTATACTGTGCAGTATGTATTTAACTTATCGTTTCCCAGTTGTATAATTGTGACATCGAAGAGACTGAATGACGCAGTGGTACAGATATAGATTCTATGACCACATTTACGTACGGAAGGAGGTGGTATCAAAACCATTTCTCAGTAGAACATGGGTAGTGGGATTATGTAGTATGTGACAGAAATAGTTGAGTCAGTTTGAATATTGCTTATGTCACGAGTTGATGACGTTGTATACATAATTAAAGGCAAGTAAGTATTTTAATTTTTAAAAACTCGTATCAGGACTAAATGCTTTCGTGGCACTGCCTTCAGGGGTATTTGGTACGTATTTATATTGTAATGCCATATTAAGCTCAAAATATAAATTTGGTTAGAATACATATTTTTCTCATTTATATTAATAGCATACATCCTGCATTAAGAAAAGCAGTGGAGAACAGCCGTTTGTGTAGGAAAACTGGGCATATTTATACACGGTTCGAGTTATGACAATGAAATTGGTGCAGCATATGTGGTTTACTTGTTTGGTACAGAAATATATTATGGCAAAATTGGATTTGAACCTTACAATTCTAATTTTCAAGCCGAATTGGCTGCTATCATATTTGCTCTTAAATGGACTGATGAAAACCTGACTGTAAAAATATATATTAATATTTATACATACTCATTATCTGGTTTGGAAGCACTAGCAGATGTTGATAACACCAATATTTTGATCTCTTTATAAAAGATCTCCTTGTAAATGTTGAAAAAATACATTAAGTGAAAATGAACAGGGCGGAAGTCCATATTGGTGTTATAGGCAATAAAAGTCCCGACATGCTGGCCAAAGAGACTGCTATGGGTAATGTCGGGGATGCGTTTGATATTCAATAATAAAAAAGAATTGTTGATGGTAAAATTAAGGATTTCTGCTGTGATTGCTGGAAAAAGAAACGGAACATTTCGGGAAAAAGGATAGATAATTTGTGGAACTATGAAGTTCCTAAAAATAAGAGAATGATATGTGATTTCGATTACAATCAAATAGTTACTAGACATGGGCGTTTCCCGGCGTAGCTGAAAAGATGCCAATTTACAAAATAATAGTCTTTGTAGTTTTTGTAGTGCTGAAGGCAGAGCACATCATTTTGTGGAAGAATGGATATTATTGCAACATGTTAGGGAAAAACATGGTAACATAAAGGAATTCTACAGCCGCAATAAAGAGTTTAGATTTGCAAAGGATTTGATGAACTTTATAAATGGCAACAGAACAATACTGGGAATTTTGATTTGATGGTTCTGACTGTGGTTCTGTTTTAATATTTTAACTATATTTTTGATTGCATGTGTTGGGTGTGCTGCGGCCTATTATTATCGTCCAGGAGGGATGCAGCACACTCGTATATTACATTACATTACATTAACCCCATTTAAAACAAAGAGATAACAAATTTCATTGTTTGATATCAAATGCATTGTTAAATACTTTACTGTAATACAAATTTCAATTCGTTATAAAAAATGCTTGCAGATTTTACCACATTTTGAAATAAGAAGAAAATACAATTTTAATAACTCTATCTATTTTACTAATGCAATAGATACTCGCATTTTAAGCTAACATTATTTCATCTCAGTAAACAAAACTTATCTATGCTTCTTGCGTGCTAAGATCTAAATCGTATTTAAAAAGACTATATATTTTTGACACAGATTTAGGAAAGCAGTTTTCTTAAAGAAGGTGTTTAGATTATAACAGTTATTTAAATAAGAGGCGTATAAAATGTATTATAAGTTTATACTTTCCTTGCTTTGTAAATAACAAATATTATTAATTTTACTCCTGATTATGCAAGATCAGTAGTTACGATTATATTATATTTTACAGATACATCTAAATTTTGCGATAAAAATGGTTTTTGAAATGTGATAGTTTTAAAGATACAACCTAAACTAATTGTTTTATGAAATTAAAACCAAATGGCAATATACTAAAGGAAAAGCAAAGGAATGGCTATTTCCCAAATACAGGAATTCTGTCAAAAAAATCCCTTAGTACTGTGGGCTCAAACTTAAACTATATACGGGCCGAATGCATGATCTTAAAACAGCTTACAGGTCAGAATTTTGCTTTTTTTAAAAAAATAAAATGAAAATTTTTTAACAAAATAAAATTTTTTTAAAAGATTGCTTTATTTATTATTAGATCAAAGAAGCGTTAGCCTAGAAGGACTATTAGTCTGAAAACGGAATTTTGAAGACGCTATAAAAGTCTGAATCACTTTTTGAACTGTTGCCACCAAATATTATCTCTCTGTATTACATTTAAAGAAATTAAATAATGAGAAATTTGCATGAACATAAGCATGTTTTTCGCACTGCGAAAAAATAACTGTAGAGAAAGCCTCAAAATGTACCTCTACCCGAATTTTGAATTTCGAATTTGTTTTATTGTGTATTTCATGTTTTGTAAGACTTTAACGAGTTTTTGATTAACAAACTCGAGGATTTTAAAGCGAGCAACGGCCACACTATATGGTAGTTATTTTTTTATCTCCATCGCTCGAGACTTCTATCGGAAATTCTAAAGGTAGGCTGCTTTTAATTATTGTCACCGAAAGGATCATTAGCCCAAATGTTTTCGCAACGTGTATGTATATGCAAATGAAAACTTCCCTTTGCGGGTAATAAAAAATCTGAAAAGCATTAATTTTTTATTTAATTTTTTTAATTATTGTTTAACTTTTTTAATAAAAAGATTTATATTTTGTTTGTATTTGGGTACCCCAAGCTAACGTGCATCTTAATTTAAAATTATATAGTTTTGATCTTTAATATTTTCATATTTAGATTGATTTTGCCAAAAAAAAAAACAAAAAAAAAAAAAAAAAAAAAAAAAAAAAAAAAAAAAAAAAAAAAAAAAAAAAAAACAAAAAAAAAAAAAAAAAAAAAAACAAAAAAAAAAAAAAAAAAAAAAAAAAAAAAAAAAAAAAAAAAAAAAAAAAAAAAAAAAAAAAAAAAATGAAAAAAAAAAAAAAAAAAAAAACTGAAGAAATTATTTCCGTATTCCGTATTCTTACACTCCTTCAATACAATGTTTAAACAAAAACAAATATATTTTAAGTAAAATAAGGAAAACAAAGAATATTTTTAAATATATAATTTTGGCTTTTATTTGGACATTTAATAAATAACTAAACTGATATTAGAAAGATTCTGCTGAAAATGGTAGAAAAGAGTACAATTTAGAAATTTAAGGAATTCTGTATTATGTTAACGGATAGGTTTAAAAATGGTCAAGATATAACTGTTTGTTTGTAGCTTACCATTTTCGATTCAAACGGTCAATTATTTCTTTACACTAAGAATCCTCAAAACTTAGCTAATTTCACCTGTGCAGAAAATCCCATTAATTAAAAGGGAGAATTAATTATTAGAATTAATTAACTATGTTAAAAATAGATTTAACATAGTTAATTAATACTTAAGTAACTTGATTTAATTTATAAATACTGCTCTAACTAACCTAAACGTCAAATCTGATATAAGGTCTTTTGGAAGAACTATGGAATTTATTAGAATTAATGCTATTTTGTATCTAATGACATTGAAAAAAATTTCAGTAAAGTCATTATGACTGATTTGCAATAGAAGAATATAACAGAATATTGTATTTCCTAGGAGAATTCCAAAGACACGTTTACAATCGTCGAAGATCGACGACAAACGCGCTGAAACAATCAGCAACAGTCTTCAGGCTACAACGATGAAGACAGCTTCACGGCAAAACACTAAATACAGATTCCGAATCGGTCGATCGCTCTCGGAGTTAAAAACACACTCAGGATACTCTTCACAATGAAACTCACGATACACATTCGACATGCACTGATGAGACATTACTACTCCTTAAATCTTGAATCTAAATTGAGTAGGTAATCTTCGACCCGAAGGCCTTTACTACCATAATTTACGATAGCTATATGTGGAAATCATTTTTTAAATACTATATTGTTTTCCGCCAGATGCTCCATGTCGAAATCATTTTTGAATATATTATTTTCCGCCAGATGGCGGCACCGAGATGAGAAAATCTTGCGAAGAGCAGCAGTATTAGACATTCAGATAAGGCAATTAATTATGTAGCAGTTTTTAGCAAGATAATTGTTGGGTGACATCGGTAACTGTAGAAAGGAGAAAACATGAAATGTTAGAAAATTATTAAACAGGAGTTCGACTGATGAAATGAAATTGTTCACGTTATCCCAATTACTAAAATAAAAGTTCCAAGTATTGACTGCTTGGTCAGCGTAATGTCCGTGAGAACAGCATCACCAAAAGCTCTTGAAAATAACAAAAATATCTTGAGTAAATAGTAAATAAAATAAGCGTAAATGAAGTAAATTATTAGATATATGTACACATATTCGATAGGTTGAAGTTCAGGTACGTGACCTGTACTTTTTGATTAAACAGCTGCAGTAACTTTGATTAAACAGCTGATGTTTAAACAGCTGCAGTACAGACAGGGTTTATAAAGCTTTTGGCATGCATGCCTTTGAGAACATTCTGCGCCAAACTGGTAAGAATTCATTCTAGAATGTTTTCCAACCGTCAATGTCATATCGCCAATTTTGCAGCCAAACGGGCGATTTCGCGCCAAATCTCGCAACCCTGAATTCGCTTTGCGGGGAAAATATCTTACCGCAACTGAGCATTTCGTAACAATATGTAAGCAAGTAAAAATCGTTTTTTAATAAAAAGGCTTTGGCTGTAATAAAAAGAGAAGCGCATTAAATGCAATAGCTTTTTAATAACAAATGTATGATCATAAAATATTGCATTTGCTTCTGTTGTAATAAAATACGATTAAATGCAAACTTACCGAAGACTATCACCAAAGTCATTTTGACAGTTTTGATCTTAGCCCTAGGTATAATGCCTCTGGAACTGGCACGTTTTCTGTCCACTTCATTTTCAATGGTCGTGCTGGATTTAGATTTGCTCACACAACCTAGGAAAAAGAGAGAAACGAAAAATATATTGAATTCTTTAATTAATAGCTAGACATAAATCCTGATTCACAAAATACAGATTACTCTTCTTAGACATACAACAATGCGAATACCTATAATTAGCAATATGCTATAACTAACGATAAAAGGTGTGCGCAATGAAACAAGTCTTGAAATTTAGTTGATGAACCTGGTGTATTTGGAGGTTTAATTCCTCAATTTGTTGGTGACTGTGGCAATAGATTTTATGTAGGTACGGTCATGTAAGACAAACATGCTTCTTGAGTATAGTGATCCCCATCTTCACGAACTTAAACAAAGATTTCCTCACATTTTCGGACACCATGTGAATAGCAGAAAAGGAAGAATATCGAGTCATTTCATGGCACCCAGCTTTACATTTATTCCACATGGCGTTTTGCTGCAGGCCTAAAGGGAAAAAAAAAAAAAAAAAAAAAAAAAAAAAAAAAAAAAAAAAAAAAAAAACCTTTTCCTATATTGGTTCATAACCTGGAATTTAAGCAATCAGAAAAGTAGCATCACAAAATTTTCAAATCATGTGAAATGGTAAAACGAGGTTTGGGATTTTTATGACATCATTATTGGCATTCATTTATAGTTTGTCAGACATGGAACAAAATTCCAGTTACAGTCAATGGCAGTACAATGTTGTGCAATTATAGAATCATAATTATTGCTAATTTTTTTATTATGACAGTTTATTTAATTTTCCTTTTAATTTGTTTAAAGTTTGACTATTAAAGTTTGATTACATTTCAGTTTATGTTGCCTGTGTTCTTTTATCAAGTTAAAACACCCATATTTTCTCTTTCTTTCAAGAATAAATATAATGTAGGATTCCCCACTGCGTAATTCTAAGTTGTAGTTGCATTTGAAGAATCTTAAGAACTGATAAGCAAATAATCGCTTGAGTTCGCGATGTAGAAAACAACAAATGAGAAGAGTGAACTAATCCTTTATTATTCCAACTAAAGTTTAACGGAACTCCGTCTTTGGAGTTTTACAATAAAGCCGACACTCGGGCTTGAACTTAGCAAACTAAGAACTAAGCTTAACTAATCTTAACTAAAAAGATATAGCCGAAGCTATCAAGATTCTAACCGAGTTGGCTCCTTAACGTTAATTGACTGCGAAGCTATTAAGGGCCTAAATGGTATCCATAACTTAAGAGAGAGTAGCCTAAAAAGGCGGACGTATGCTAGCCAGAATATCTGGTATCTCTCTGACTAATACAGTGGGACTTTCGTGGTTAAATACCACACTTCCCCAATTTACATTCAGACGTGATTCTGAAACTACGTTCTGGCCGGAAGTGTTAAGTTAAAATTAAGAAGCGATAGGAAAGGAAGTTTAACTCAAAATTTAACTGTTAATAAAATTAACATAATTCTTACAGTAGATATGTGGGAAATTGATTAGACACCTAATAACTGGTAGGTTGTTCTAGTTTGGTTTCCGCAAAACGGACTGGCTGCATGGATTCTTTCTGGATTGTATAAACGATTCAATTCCACTTGGAACGTACTGCAGTGACAGTGTGGCTAAGTTCACTAAAATCTGGTAGTTGAATCCGTGATTAGACGAACAGTGTGATTGCGACTTTCTTGGATTCGTCTGCGTGCAGCTAAATATGAGTCGGTTTTCTTTACAATGACCTCCAGGAACGCAGATAACTCTACCTTTGCAGTAGTGAGATAATCCTACCTTTATACTATTTATTTTAATATAGGCAGTTCAAGGTCATAAATATCCCCCTCATTTACGATCATAACGTATATCATTTTTACTACACACAGAGAATTAGAGAATTTTAGCAAATTAGAAAACCGGACTATTTTCTGAAACAGTTACAAGAAACCCCTGTTACGAGAAAAGGTTACGAAAACCCTGTTACACCTGTTACGAGAAAAGGGAATAATGGTTTGGATGGTTTTAATTTAAAGTAACAGAATAAAGCCTCTTAGAATGTCTTGCATGAATGTCTTTCTACCCTCTAAGGTAGAAAGCACTCGGTGTTTTGTAGTACACAACCAAAGAATCGACCAAGCATATAAATTAAACAAATATTAAATAGAATCATACGCTACAAATAAAAACACGTATGTTGTCGTACTAGCACAAATTTGACATTACTCTTCCGTAAATTATTTATTCAGAGATTACCTGAAAATATATAAAAAATATGTTCTCAAAACATGCTAAGATTTACTGAATATATGTAGAATAGTTCGAATTCAACATATTTTCTGCGCGTGATGAATTTTTATGGTATTTGGATATACTTATTCTATTCTACTCGGAAAGACATAAAGCTTATCCAGTAAAATTGGTATTCGTGTTTTTCCAGATGGAGATAAGTTTGGAAGGAAAGACCGAATTATGTCTCCCAAGAGAATTCACTTAAGTGAACATGTCAACAAATCCGATTTTCATAATCTCGGTGGACAGTTCGTTTCAGTCCTCTAACGCTAAACTAAACTAAGACTTTTGTGACATATATGTGATATAAAAGTGAGGAATGTAAGCCAAAAGACACGAGTTTTAGTCATCCAAAGCTGTAAATCCAGATTTTCAAAAGTGAAAACATAAACTCGTCAGGGGTATAGTTATTTGTTGAAATTTCCAGACAACCAGTGCAAACGTTTCGGAAGGAATAGTGCACAATGCATATAGATCTTTTATTACTTTTTATTTTAGTTCAAACGGGCGGTACCCCAAAAGGGCTATTAGTCTCAAAACGGCATTTTATGGCGTTTTACTATAAGCGGAGAATAATTTTTTAAATTGTTGCCACCACTTTTAATCGCCCCATATTATATTTAAACAAATTAGATAATGAAGAATATGCATAAATGTATGTATGTTTCTCGCATTGTTGAAAAAACGACGGTAACTAGAGCCATCCAAGTTTGAATAACATAATCATCCACAAGAACACGGGCACGCACCTGGAAGCCCGAATTTTGAATTTCATATTTGGTTTATTATCTATTTCATATTCCATAAAATTTTAACGAATTTGAATTACGAAGCCAATGATTCCAAAACCAGTAATGGAAACATTATACGGAAATAACATTTTTATCTGCACCTCGCGACACTCTCGATCGGAAATCCTAAAGATATGCTCTTTATATATTATTTTGTGAACTATTGTTGAATTGAAATTTATAGTTTAATTGCGAAGAATATGATATGTAACACACGAAACGTCAAAAAACACTCTTTTGGGAGTAATATAAAATATGAAAGCTTTCAAAATTTTTTGTTTTCTTTTCATTTGCTTTTTTTATTTATTTATTATTTTAATCTGTTACCTTTATTTATTAAATATCACGTTCTTCCCACTTAACTTAATAAAATTCAGTTTAAGAGCACTATCGCAAAATAGTTTTAAATTGAGCATATCTTTAGAATTTCCGATACAGAGTCTCGCGCGCTGGAGATAAAAATGCTTTTTCTATACAACGTTGCCATTGCTCGCATTGAAATCCTTGAGTTTGTAACTAAAAGTTCGTTAAAGGTTTACAAAATATGAAATCAATAGTAAAACAAATTCTAAATTTCAAATTTGGACTTCCACATGCCCATATTCGCAGTAGGGTTAAGTCATTCAAAATTCGATGGCTCTATGTACCGTTGTTTTATAACAATGCGAGAAATATGGAAACATTTATGCAGATTTTTCATTATTTAATTTCTTCAAATATAATAAAAGACTCTAATATTTCGTGTCAAAAGTTCGAAAAGCGAAATGGACATTTATAGTGAACCAATGCAAAATTGCAAAACGAAGACAATAGTCCTTCAGGGACAAAGCCCCTTTGGACTAATAAAAAGAAAAAAATAAAAACAATTTAATATTTAGAAAGTAATACGAAAATTTTAAATAATTTTAAACATTTAACTTTATTTTAATTGGAGAGAAATAAAATCGCTTTTTCTATAAATACATTTAAGGGTCAATATAACTAATTTACAACTTTTTTTTTGTTCTGGCTCCTTGTTTGAAAGAAAAAAAAATAGAAAAGGAGATGATTATAATGATTTTAATTTGGAAATTATACTTTTCATTCAAATGCGAAATGCGATGCATTCATTAAAATATCATAATGTTACTTAGTTTTATTGCCTGCTAAAATATGTTCTTTATGTTTTACTTTGACTTATTTCTTAAGTAAAACGGAAAAGTTCATAACGATTTAATTTCAAATAAATAAGAAAAATGTTAAGAAATACCAAGAAAATAAGAAAATTGTACGTTAATCGCAGTTAGTTGTTTAACGTTTTAAACGCTAACTGCGTTTAAAACGTTAAATTTCGCCAAAACACATTGTTAGCAAACGAGCAATTCTAGTTTTCGAGAAAAAAATTATAATGCGGTCATCCAATCGTTAAAATATTTCTACTTGTTAAGTAAATATACTGAGCTGTTCGCTGGTTAGTACATAACTTACTGTTCGCTAATTAGCACAGTAACTGCAAGTAGAACTGTAATGTGCATCAAGAAGTTAAAATATGTAAAATATTATTCTTTAAACATATTCACTGTGGGCAAAAATTTAATTTTCAGATATATTTTGAAAATTTATATTGATCATTTTTTACAAATGTGAATTTTTTTTTAATGAATAACACTTACAATGAATAACAGCCTTCATTACCATTATAATATTTATGTATTAAAGAGAAACTAGAAAACGAACCTGGCAAAAGTTTGAGAAAAAACTGATATTTCTACAAAGGTAAAATTAGTAATCGCTCAGTCGATATTTCTACAAAAGTAAGATTATTAATCGAGTTATACAATATAGTTCAGAATTGCAGTTAAGAAAGAAACGGATATAATAAACCTATTTCAGTGGTGTAAATCGTTTTCAATTTCCGGACTGTTGTTCTCGAACTTTTTGTTTCAAGAACATTTGAAGCAAATAAAAAACACCCTAAAGCTTGAAACTAAAACAATGAAAACAATTGA